CATTCGTTTTCATCATCTCAGGTGCTAAGTTAGTGATTAGTGTTTCCCTCTATGTTTCTGTATTTATCTTTGTAACTTGTTAATTTTGTTGTTGTTGTTGTATTGAGATAGCACAACCCAGTTCTCCTTGGTTGTGAGACAAATGCTATCCAAGTCATGCCAGGGGGCTATATTGCCACCCTTCTAGATGTACCTTGATTTGAGACAGGGTCTCACTATGTAAGCCAGGTCAGCCACCAAGAGCCCCAGGCTGGCCTGGAACTTGCTATATAGACCACGCAGGCCTCACAGAGATCTGTCTGCCTCTGCTTCCTATGTGCTGGGATTAAAGGTGTGCACCTTGGACCCCAAAGGTCCTCTGCTGCCTTCTAGGCTTCCTGTCCAGGCCTGTGCCTGCAGAGGTTAGCTACAACGCAAGCGATCCTCATTTTCCTTTGGTATTGTGTGGTTGCTGCTGTTAACACCAGACCTTTGATGCTGATTGTGGCCACTTCTCCATATTGAAGACCCAGTTTGTCAAAGAAACTATGTGGGTGAGTGCCTACCTGAAGTGCATGAAGCCCTGAGTTTGTCCCAGCCAGCAATGTGTAAGCCAGGTGAGGTGGCGCACATCTGTAATACTAGCTAGCACTAGGAGAGGGGGGCAAGAGGACCAGACATTTAGTCATCCTTGACTGTACACCAAGTTCAGGCCAGTCTGAGCTATCTAAGACTGAAAAAACAACAAAACGTGGGGCTGCAGAGATGGCTCAGTGGTTAAGAGCACTGGCTGCTCTTTCAGAGGACCTGGTTCAATTCCAAACACTAACAGGGTGGCTCACAACTGTCTGTAACTATAGTTTAAGGGGATAATCTGATGATGCCCTCTCTTGGCCTCTGCACACAAGTGTCACAAAGATATCTATGCAGGCAAAATACCTATACATGTAAACACAACAATGTAACTCATCATGATGGTACCGGCAATTACTAACACTTAGAAGTTTGAAGCAGGAGGATTCTAAGTCTGTTCTAGCACATATAACCAAATAAATGTGTGATAACAAAGCCAGGAGTGAGCACCAGTTTTGACTTTGCTTGTGCTGCTGGCTTGTAGAGGACCCCAGCGAAAAGGCCTCATTCATTTTTTTAATTAATTAATTTATTATATGTACAGTGTTCTGCTTGCATGTATGCCTGCACACCTGAAGAGGACACCAGATCTTATTATAGATGGTTGTGAGCCAACATGTGGTTCCTGGGAATTGAACTCAGGACTTCTAGAAGAGCAGCCAGTGCTCTTACCCTCTGAGCCACCTCTCCAGCCCAAGGCCTCATTCTAAAGGGAGCCTTGCAGTTCCCATTCTGCCTGATAGCACATCTTTGTGTGCACACATGAGGACGTTTCCAGGACCAAGGTCCGTACAGCACAGTGGGATGACAGCTTTTCTGTGTGTGTGCCTGCCTCTGTCTCCCAAATGATAGCTTTTCTTGACATAAGCATGTAGCTGAAGCTGGTGACCGACTAGTATCTCCAGAGCCTTCTGTAGTCTCTGCCAGTGTGTAAGTTATCAGGTCAAACACATCTTTTCCTATTTGTAGTCTCTGCCAGTGTGTAAGTTATCAGGCCAAACACATCTTTTCCTATTGAATGAGGTGGTAGGTGAGGGGTTTACTGTTTGTTTTCTCTGAAAAAATGACTATGGGATCAGCCAGAGCATCAAGCCTCTTTATTTGACACTCTTTAGGAGTGCCACTGTGCCAATTCAGGTGGGGCAGTGGTATTCTTGGCAAAAGATCTTGTTTGTGAGGGGGCAACTTTCTCCTCTGGCTTCAGAAGGGCAGCAGCTGTGGGGTTGCCTTTGCTCCTAACAGTCCTGCTGATAGAGCAATGCCATCACTCCAGCAGCTTAAGATGCAGTAAAGTGCTCAGATTCTAAGGATGGTGACTAACAAGTTCACAGACTCCCATCCTCTTTAAGTTCCCAGCCTAACCACATTTTAGGGGCTTACTTCCATCTGAACTAAGTGGCATGGTGTGTATGGGTTACTGGGGATCAAACCCAGATCCCTACACTTGCTACAGCAGGTGCTCTACCTCCAAACCACACACCCAGCCCAGAGGTGGTGTTTTGTAATCATCACTCTGTAAATTCTCTAGAAAGCTTGGTTGACTATCTGCTCTCAGCGAGTCACTGTCAGATAAGTGCCATGTGGCCAGAGAGTTAGTTACGTAATAAACGGACAAGTTCCTCATCCAGGCCTGAACTTCTATGCACCCAGGAGGATGCTTAGAGCTAGTGTTGAGTTGTGTGTGGACTGCTGACACACACATTTGTAAAGGATACAGGCCATGCATCTTTTTGACCCAACTAAAAGCAATTCCCCAGCCATCCTATGAGCAGAAGAAACATTAAAACTTCACTAAGGTTTTTTTCTTCAAAGCTATAGTAGCGATGTGAATTTACTAAAAATGACACATGCGTTCAATTATCTCTTCTTCCCTCAAAGGATAGAGGGTAATCCTTTCAATCACATGACTTCTGGCATCTTTGCTCTGTCACACACTGGGACAGAAAATTATTGGATAGTAGCTCATTTTCTCTCTAGATGGGAACTAAGCATAATCCTGGCACAAGTCTCTTTCCTGACAATTCTGCACAACCTCTACAGCTCCGGCTACTGGATTTCTATTTACACATTAAGCCCATGACACATCCCATGGCTGGACACAACAGAAAGGACTGTGAACCACACGGTCTACTCCCCAAATTAGGAAAATTGAAAGACGTCAAAGCACCCCAGGGCTAGGTAGTACAGCTCGCTGACAGAACACTTACCAAGCATGCCTGGGGCTTTTGACTCCTAGTACCTCAAAATTTGGGCCCAAATGTTTCTTTATAGAGGAAGGGTCTCTGTGTAGCTCTTGCCTTGGCCTCCCAAATAGTGAGCTATATACATGAAACATACCACATGTATTTTACCTGTGTGCTTTTAAATCTTTTATCTGTGAGTGCTGGTGCCCACCCATGGGTCAGAAGCTTCAGGTCCCCTGGAGTTAGAGGTGAGCTACCTGATGTGGGTGCTGGGAACTGAACTCAAGTCCTTGCCAAGAGCAGTGTGTGGTCATAATTAACACTGTGCTATCTCTCCAGCCTCCAGTGTTATTCCCATGACTAGGCAATAGGAACTAGGTATATGCTCATCAGTATAGTGCTTACCTGGCACTCACAAGGACCTTGGTTCAATCCTCAGTTCTACCAGAAAATAACAAAACAGACCATTAGTAATCAGAGCATCACTCTTAGCTTTCATTACTGTCCACCTATGAATTTTAGATCAGTCTTCAGACCTTAAATTACATTGATTTTGTGTTTACATATATGAGAGCACATGTGCTAAGCTGTGGTGAGAGGTCAGAGGACCATAAGTTATGGGAATCAGTTCTCTGCTTCCATGGGGTCCTGAACCTTCACATGCTGAGTCATCTCTCAGTCAGGTTCTCAAAGTTATTTACATTAATGGAACCATTTTGTTGTGAAGGGGGCTAGGCCCATGGAGTTCTAGACTCAAGGGTATTTCCTGGAAGGCGAAAACGGTTTACTGAGAAATTGGTCCTTTATATAGAGACTAAAGAATTTTCTATATCCAGACTTCTTGATGAGGGTTATGTGTGTCAAGATGGAAAATGATAAGAAAACCTTCCCAATGGATAGTCTCTGTGTAACTGTCAGTATTACTCCAAAAGTGAAATTCCCCTGAATATTATTCACCAAGAGTCAGACTACTCCAAAGCCAGCTCATGTCCAGCTGGTTGACCTGAGACACCTCATCTCTGTGTACTTAGTTCCCTAATTTGTAATGAAAATTGAAGTGAGCTGGGCAGTGGTGGCACACACCAGCACTTGGGAGGCAGACACAGGTGAATCTCTGAGTTTGAGGCCAGCCTGGTCTACAGAGCGAGTGCCAGGACAGGCTCCAAAGCTACAGAGAAACCCTGTCTCAACCAACCAACCAACCAACCAACCAACCAACCAACCAACCAACCAACCCCAAAAACCCACTGCTGGGAAAAGTACCAGTGGGCTGCTTTCTGCTAGCCATTACTGAGGAACTGCATCACAAGTGCATCTAAACCCTAATGCAAATTTACCTCAGTATCAGTTCTAGCTTCTTGCTGTACAAATGTATCTAGAGAATAAAAATGAACATTTTGTATGGTAAAAACTTATCAGCTGGGCCATGGTGGCATACGCCTTTGATCCCAGCACTCGGCAGGTGGATCTCTGTGAGCTCAAGGCCAGCCTGATCTACAGAGCAAGTTCCAGGACAAGCTCCAAAGCTACACAGAGATACCCTGTCTCAAAAAACCAAAACCAAAAAAGAATAAATTCAGTGCTGACACAGTTATCAAAGACAGTGTTTAGCTAAATAGGAGAGTCCCTCACAGGTATTGCTTATTTACTGTCTGGGTCATTAGAGAAAGAATGTTTTAGAGCTAAATGATAGAGGCATCACTTGTGGGTCTCACTATGTAGCCCTGATTGGCCTGGAACTCACTACATAGACCAGGCTCAAACCCATGATCCTCCACAGGCTCCTGAGGATTATGTGCCACCATGTTCTACTTAAAAAGCTTGATTTTTTTTTTTTTTAAACTATGTGTCTGTGTATGTGAGTGCTAGTGTCTGAGGAGGCCAGAAGCTTTGGATCCCCCTGGAGCTGGAGTTACAGGGGCCTGTGAGCTGTGGATGCAGAAAAACCAGCTGGGGTTTTTGTAGAAATAGTACACACTATTAACCACTGAACCATCTCTCCAGTTCATCGGAGTAATACTTCTAAGGGTACCAGCGCTTATCCATCCCAGTTTTAAACTTTGCTCGTAACAGAAGACATAGTCATTCCGCAACCCAATTTTCCAACAAAGGGACTACCAGAGCCCATCTCTAGAAGGCTGGTATGGATGACAAGAAACTCAGGCTCACTGCAATAGCTGTTTCAACTACTAGAGAGACTACACAAGTGGTTCAACAGAATTTACTTGTATATTTTCCATTTTCTATACTATTTGAAGGCATAGGATAGCTTTGTATTAGCTTTCTACAATACTGTGTTTTAAATCTATCCAGTAAACTAAGATGCAGTACAACTTGTATACAACTGAGGAGGTGAGAAGCAACTCGGCAGGCCCTGGTGCTCAACAGTTTCAGAATAAACAGGTAGCGTGCAGCTGCATTAAAAGGTAGTTTGCAAATATTCAAGTTACACCAAGATTCCTTCCAAATCTCTGCCATGCTCAAACCAACACAACCGGCCATTGCTAATACTGCGGCACGGCGTTTGGTAAATGGTGATGGTTTTACTTTCTTCTTAATCAAAAGCCCGTGAAGGTGCTGCCACACAACAGAGTCAATCAGCTCTGCTTGTGGCCGAGGTGCCAATTGTGAAGTCACAATAGGTACAGTTTAACATGAGAAATGCACGTTAACAAGTGGCCCAAATACAGAGCTGGACAGAATCAGACCAGTAAGTCTATAATTACTCAACTGAACTAACATAAGTACATTCAAAATAAAGCCGGAGATCAGAATTGGTTTTAGACTCAAATTTGCAGACTTTCTTGATAAAATAGAAGTATGATCTTCTGCAGTTGGAAATGAAGCTCTCAACTGGTGGAGAGCTAGAGACTTCTCAGTCCCTCCTGCACAGATAAGGAAATAAGTGACAAAGTCTCTTGCACTGAAGTTATGTATTTTAACAGCTTTACATGTAATATTCATATATAAAAAACTTTAAGTGCTTTTCTCCAATTTAAAAATCTAAAGAATTCAAAAATAAGGCATTCAATATTTGAAAAAAGTACAGATTTACAAAATGTGTATATTCTGTCATGAAAACTCCACACCAACATTATACACTTGGAAAAAAATACAAACAGGATATATTACAAATTTATGCAGCAATAACTTAGTTCACACCATGCAATAAAAAGTACATTAATCAAGATACACAAGCTTTTGTAGGTTCTAAACTGAAGGACTTTTTCTTTTTTCTCTGAAGAATCCTTAAAACCCGTGGCACTTAAAACTTGCTAGCCTTTCTACTGGGATGTAAATTATACACAACAACGATGAAAAGATGAACAGACCAGGTGTCTATTATGAATCATTCCAGCTTTGCTCAACAATGGCTGAAACTCTCTTCTCATACTCCCGTTTGTTTTCCTGATAAAGCTGTGCTGCTTGGCTATTTGCTGGACTGTTTGGATTTGGTTCATCCAACAGAGACTAAAAGAGAGAAGAAAATGCTTTTCAGTTATATGTCTATTAATAGGGCTCAGATGAGGACAAAAAAATTACTCAAAATGACAGAATTATTTGGAAGTTTCCATGTCATCTTTTAGGTCTCAAAACCTTCAGAAGTGGCACGAAACAGGTTTCTGCTGCTAAAGAACATAAATTTCTAAAACAATTCCCAGTTGCCTTGAGACCTCCCATTTCAAGGAAATCAGCCAAGAACAATATTCATTTGAATATAAGAACTTCCTCACCAGGAAACAAATAGCTTAATTTGGTTAGGCTCTAACACCGGTAAATACCTTAGTAGCTTATTTTTATTGACCTTTTACTGCTACTATCATGTTTTTGGTGTGCTCAGGTCTCCGGCATGCTAGGTAAACCGCCCCCCCCCCCAACAGCAATAATGTTGGGTGAGCCTTGCTCCTTTGATAAATAAAACATCCATGTTCAGCAGGGAGGGAATGAAATAGTAAAGTTGGCCAGAGCGGGAAGGGATGAGCAAAGAGTAATGAGCAACCTAAGGGCAACAGTTGCTCTTCTATGTAGGTATATTCTATGTGGAATATCCCTTTAAACACATGGAACATGGGAACAGCAATGGACTATGGGGGGGGGGGCGACACCACACACAGGGATGGGACAGACAGAGGGTGAGCAGGACAGACAGGTAATGGGGAAGCAGGTATGCACAGGGTCAACGACACAGCATGAAACATCATGACATTCTCTATCTAGAGATGAACCGAACTAACAGTAAAAGACTCACAAAGACGGACATAAATTTTGCTCCCCCCAAATCAGCACAGCCACAACAGCCTCTCCAGACTCACTGGCAAACTGTTACTGTCCCTCTTTACAGACTTTCCTCAGTGAAAAAAAGAGGTCACAGTTCTTTGACCGGGCAGTTCCTAGAGGTCCCTAAGCAATCTTAACTTCTCAAGATACTACGAGGACATGAGTAAGTCTGACCTGTGAGAATGTGTAGCACATGACTAACAGGTTGTGACTAGGCATGGTGGCACATAGGACTGTATAGAGAGGCAGGAGAATCAGAGGTTAAAAGTCATCCATGGGACAGACTAGGCAACAATAGACACCACCACCAGAGGAAACAAGTTTGTGGATTAGACCTTAGATGTCAACTAACAGAACAGCCCAGGGTTCCTGTCTGTGTGCTGCGTTAGTTCCAGGGCACTGGCTGGCAGTTTGTTTCCTTGGTTGTTAAGACTGCTCCTCTAAGTGACTGGTCATGTCCCACAGAATGCGGAGAAGTTGTGATGCTTCTGAACACACACGTACCTGAATTGAAGTTAAGATGGAAGAGACATCATATGTGGGACTCCATCGATTCTGCAGGATATCTAAACATATGCTACCATCAGCATACACTGCAAAGACAACACTGAAGTTAGTTACCACTGCCTCACAACCTAGTTAAGAGAGTATGTCAGCACACAATACCTGACCAAGTAACAGTTCTGAATGTCAGGTAGTAAACTAAACCCTGCCATCTCACTGGAAAACTTGTTCTGAAAAGTCATGTTGGTCTCACTTCAGAAGTCCCAGGGAGAGACTTTTCAAAGCACAACATATATTAATTACTCCATTTTGGGTTCAAGGTTGTAGCTCTGTGGTAGAGTGCCTGTTTCGCACAACACAAAACTACACCACTCTTTTTTTTTTTAATTAGTTCAAGTTAGGGAACAAGCTTGTTTCACATGTAAGTCCCTTCTCCCCTTCCCTCCCCTTACTCCCATCCTCCCCCTCACCCCCTACACCACTCTTCTTAAGTCTCAAACACAACTCTTAAAAAAATGATGACACATTCAAGGTACACTACTAATGTAGTCATCATAAACGCCATCTATTGTGTTTCTCATGAAAATAAGGGATTTTTGTTTGTAGCAGGTTCTTACTATGCAGCTCTGGCTGTCCTAGAACTATGTATATCAAGCTGGTCTCGAACTCACAGAGATTTGCCTGCCTCTGCCTCCCAAATGCTGGGATTAAAGGTGTACGCCACCACTGCCTGGCTCCATATTTTCGTTTTTTTAAAAAGCACGTAAGTACTTTCACTTTAAGTAAATAACAAATATTTGCAAAATTATGTCAAAATATTAACAGTAAGACTTGACAGCTGACCTTTAATCCATCCTTGTAATATACTCCATGCCCCAACCTCTGGTCACACACAAGTAGAAGAAAAAGGCAGAAGTTAACATGCACTGAAACTTTTGACTACCTGGGACATACTTTGTACCCTCTTAGACCAATGTTACAGACATTGCCAATGCACAGAACTTCATTTGTTTAGTAGTCTCATGTAGCCCAGGTATGCTATGGAGCACAGAACAGCAATGAGCTTCTGATCCTCCTGCCTCTCTCTACCTCTAAGTAAGTGTTGGGCTTATAAACATGCTCCATTACTTCTGGCAATATTGCCAAACTGAAAAACCCAGAACCACGATATCCTCCATGGCAACAGGGTTAAAGAGTGGGCGTTTGAGCCTTTGCTCAGGGCTCCATCCTAGGGTTTCTTTTCTTTCTATTCCCATTATTGATCTCTGTGCAATCATATCCATCCTCCTGGCCTCACCTTGTTCTCTGTGTGCTCAGTATTACTAATTGAATAGTAGAAGTCAGCCACTTCTCATCTGTCCGAGGATCAAATGTCACATCCCAAGCCAGAAAATAAAAAAGCAATTGAAAATATTCAAGTTTTGAACTAGTTTTGAAATGCAAAAGGAAAGTTGAATCCAAATGGCCATCAATTGATCAAAAGGAAAACAGAAGATATCTAAATAATAAAACATTAGACTGTTACCTCCCAAGAGAAATGGAAACTGGCCATTTTGATGGTTTAACTGTGTCTGACTACACCAAAACTCCACTGAATTGTGTAATTAAAATGGACAAATAGGCTGAATGTGGTGTTTCATGCCTTTAATTCCAGCACTTGGGAGGCAGAGGCGGGTGGATTCTGAGTTCAAGACCAGCCTGATCTACAAAGCAAGTTCCAGGACAGCCAGGGCTACACAGAGAAACCCTGCCTTAGAAACCCAAGTAAATAAATAATAAATACAAAGAAAGAAATAAAATGAACAAGTAGAATGGTATACACATTGTATACCCCTATGTTTGTATGTTTGTATGTATCTATCAATCAAACAACCCAGGATTGAGGATGTAGCCCAGTCTGTAGAGGGTTTGCCCACTGGGTAAACTTGGAGTTTGATCCCTAGTGTCACATAAACTGGGTGTGGTGGCATCTGTACATAAGCACAAAGAGATGAAACCAGGAGATCCTGTGTTCAAAGTCATCCTTGAATATATACCAAAATGAAGGCCAGCCTGGCTATATGATCCCATCATTTAGCTTTTTATTTATTTGAGCAAGCACACATGTACTTGGGTGCTCAAGTAACATGTGTAGAGGTCAGAAGACTACCTATAGGAATTGGTTCCATCATTGGAGTCCCGGGGATTGAACCCAGGCTATCAGAATTAATGGCAAGGTACCTTTACCTACTGAGCCATTTTGAAGACCCTAAAATCTTTATTTTTATTTTGGGAGACAGGGTCTCATGAAGTCCAGGCTGGCTCTGAAGTTACTAAGTAGCTGAGAATGGCCTTGAATGCCTGATTGCCCACCATCTGGCTTGAATGTGTGGTTTATAAAAGCCAAATTTCAGGTGAAATTTTTGTTAAGCAAATGATGTTTATTACTTTTTTTTTTCTCGAGACAGGATTTCTTTGTGTAGTTTTGGAGCCTATCCTGGCACTCGCTCTAGCAACCAGGCTGGCCTCGTACTCACAGAGATCTGCCTGCCTCTGCCTCCCAAGTGCTGGGATTAAAGGCGTGCACCACCAATGTCCGGCTGTTACTTTTAATTCAGATGTTATTACAATTAATTTAGCTCACACATGGAACCTTGTTAGGATTCTAGGTAATACGGGTATGGAAGTAATATCTGAAGACAGGCCTAACTATAAGAATAAGTTACACCCAAGGGGAGGGACAAAGTCTCCCATGCCCTCATCCCATTACTGACAAAACCTAAGAAGCTGTCACTTACCATTTGGATGAAACATTTTGGATAAGAACCTAACAGTTGGTGGTTTATTTGGATATTCTTCAGAAAATTCTATTACTAGTTTAAAAGTACCTAGGTAGAGAACAAACCAAATCACAGTAAGACAAACATTACTTTTAAACGTCTTCATCAAATAATTCTTAATTCCTTACCAAATTATGCACAACCACACGTTAGCCAGAGAACTCTGAGTTAGCATATAAAACATCTAACATACTTCTCTGTTAGACTGTGAACAACTGATGCTGGCAAGTACTTGGAGGACAAGCACTTTCCATGGGCTACTACAGAAGTGTGGAGTGGGAACAGTCATATCTTGGCTGGCTGACTGAGTGGGGGTGTATGATTTATGTGTCCAGATGGGCATCACACCAGGGGGAGGTCAGAGGTCAACTCTGTTTTGAAGTTAGTTCTTTCCTCCCACCTTTACCAGAGTTCTGGGAGTCAAACACAGGTTGTCAGGATTTGTGAGGCAAGTTCCTTTATCCATTGAGCTATCTCACCAGTCCAGACTGTCATATTTTTTAAAAGGCAACTAGGCCCTAACTACTAAAATTTTAAAAATTCACACTTTAAAGGAACTAGACAGTTTTTTTTTTTTTTTTTTTTTTTTCACCTTAAAAAAAGTGGGCAAAAAAAAAAAAAAGTCACTAATGGACTAGGGTAGCTTAGTGAAAAAGCACTTAGCTGACATGCCTGAGGTATGATGCACAACACTGAAAATCAAAAAGGTGTGTGTGTGGGGGAACCTTAAAAAAAAAAAAAAAAAAAGGATGCCAAAGGATTCTAGGAGAGCTGACTACCACCTGGCAAAGGACAGCTTAGGGCTGGGTGCTACTTCTCTAGGTCTGCTAGTCATTCTTTCAAGTAAATTTGTTCCCTGAAAAAGTCAGCAGCCCAAGATGTAACTGACTCAACTGCAGAAGTGCTTTTGTCATGTCCCTTCATCACAGACAACATTTTTTTTTTTTTGGTTTTTCGAGACAGGGTTTCTCTGTGGCTTTGGAGGCTGTCCTGGAACTAGCTCTTGTAGACCAGGCTGGTCTCGAACTCACAGACATCCACCTGCCTCTGCCCCCCAAGTGCTGGGATTAAAGGCATGCGCCACCAACGCCCGGCTATCACAAACAACATTAAAGAGCAGACTGAGAGATCCAAATTTAATGGTTCCAGCAATTCTGACAGTTGCCAAGACATTTTTATATGCAAAGAACACAGCCACTCTTAGTATATAGTATGGGTGGAGGTCTCAACTTGTTCTTAGATGCAAAACTACTTAGGTATGGATCTAGCTTAGACTGTTTCTATACCAGCAATGCAAAGGTCAACAAGCACTGGTATCAAGATGGTCAGTCACACAGTCTCCTGAAATGGGACTCAGACACCCTGAAGGGTTTGTGGATTGAACACAACCGAGAAGCCCTGAGATAGCTAAAAAAGCCTGCTACAGTCATTCAGTACTTCCTTGGATTCCTTATACCTACTTAGAAATTAAGTATGATGACATGCATACATAACTAGTAAGAAAGAGGATAAGCTGAGCAGTGGTGGCGCACGCCTTTGATCCCAACACTCAGGAGGCAGAGGCAGGTGGATCTCTGTGAGTTCAAGACCAGCCTGGTCTACAAGAGTTAGTTCCAGGACAGCCTCCAAAGCCACACAAGGAAAACCCTGCCTCGAAAAACTTAAAGAGGATAATCCCAGCACTTAGAAGGCAGAGGCAGGAGGTTTTCTCTGAGTCCAGGGCAACAGAAGGGGCTACAGTGAGATCCATCTCAAATATAGATCTAGATTATTCTACAGAAATTGGCATTATTATTCTTCAACCAGTATATTACAGAGTCAAGTACAGTATCACTTGCTTAGTAGACTTTCAGGTTATCCCCTGACAAATAATTCACAGACATTCTTACCAAATGTGTTAACAAATTTTGAAGTCATTTTGATAATTATTGCAAAGCTGTTTAATTTTTAAAAATCCTCTATAATTAGGGAAAATCTTTAAGTACCTGTTTAAAATCAATTTAATAAACCTAACTGTGATTACAGATTAGAACCAGTCTTCCATTTTCCTGGTTCCTATTATATATACCCAATTTGAGATGCAAATTACTACAGAATGCTTTGGGTGCTACATGCTAAGTAGTGAAGCTACTGATAGCTATGGATTCAGAGGACTCGGGGAGAGCTTCATAGTGGAGTGCTTGTTTGGAATACACAAAGCTCTGGGTTTGATCCCCAGCACTGGGGGAAAAAAAGACAAAAAGAAAAATTTTATCACAAGACCGTAATCAATGCAGATAACTCAGTAGAAAATTGTAATTACCCTCTTGGTATTACCTCAGGAATACCTTCTGCTAGTCTGCCCAAATATAAAACTACTCTTAACACAGACCCACTACCTAGTCCCATAGCGCTACATGCAAATCATGTTACACAGGAAACTGGTGATAGAGGTGTTCAAGATGATCTGCAAAAAAAGATCCTTGTCAACTATGAATTTTCATTTGCCTGCTTAATATCCATGGAGTTCATTAAGAGTAAAATCTGACTTCAAATAGGTGTGTTGGTGATCAAATCTCTAATTTAAAAGCACCCTTTTAATATCATAAAGAAAATAACTAAGAGTTACTCACCATCTTCAAAGGGTGTCCCTTCTGGTCTGAAAACAAGAAGATTTCTGATTAAAAGAATTTTTTTACTGTTTTTTTTTTTTTTTTTTTTTTTTTTTTTTTTTTTTTTTGGTCTTCAAGGATGGAAAGGATAAACTGAGAAACTAGAAAAGGCTGCAGTCATCCAGCTACCAGGAGAGCTGTACAAACACCATTGAGTAGGCCAATATATAGTCTTAGCTTTTTCCTAATAGAGCAGAAATGACTTTCAATGTTCAAGCTTTTCTCCTCACTAAAGGATAATTTTACTCAGCAAACTTGTCTATGATTTCGATGTAAAAAGAATACATACAGTGCAGCTGGGTGGTTGAGGCACACACCTTTAATCCCAGGCAGGTAGGTCTTAAGTTTGAGGCTAGCCTGGTCTACAGAAAGAGTTCCAAGACAGCCGGGACCACACAAGGAAACTATCTTGAAAAACCAAAACTCAGAACAACAGTATACAAGTGGGTATGGTGCCATACACTTGTTATCCCAGATACTTACGAGACTGAAGCATGAGGATGTCAAGTTCGAGGCCTTCTGGGCATACCAGTGAGTGAGTACGAGGTCAGCCTGGGCAACTTGGCAAGACCCTATCTCAAGCCAGAATTTTTAAAAGGGATGATTTAACACACACAGAAAAAAAATTGGGTATCATAGCCCAGGCTGGCCTGACCCTGCACTAATCCCCCTGCCTCAGATTCCTGCGTTCTAGGGCTTATAAACATAAGCCAGTAGTATACTTAACTATTTGGATTTTCTTGAGATAAGGTCTTGCTAAATAAATAGCTCAGGTTGGCTTTTAGTTTGTGATCCTCCTGCTTCAGCCTTCCAAGTGGTATGATTACAGATGACTGAACCCAACGCTTCAGGAAAGCTGGGCAAGCACTCCACCAACTGAGCTACATTCCCAGTCTCCCATCAGGTTCTAAATGTAGATTCTTTCTTTCTTTTTTTGGATTTTCGAGACAGGGTTTCTCTGTATTGCTTTGGAGGCTGTCCTGGAACTTGCTCTGTAGACCAGGCTCCCCTCCAAGTCACAAAGACCCCCCTGCCTCTGCCTCCCAAGCGGGGATTAAAGGCGGGCGCCACCAACGCCCGGCTTAAATGTAGACTCTTCTAAGATGGCCCAGTAATTAAGAGTATTTAAAACTCTTACAGGAGTTTGGTTCCCAGCACCCATATCAGGTAGCGCACAACTTCAACTACAGCTTCAGGAGATCTGACTCTCCCACCCCTACCTGCCCAACTTTCATGGGCACCTGCCATCTTGTACGTGACACCCTCTTCAACCCTAGTTTTTAATCAATTACCAGGACTGACTGCAAAATCATTCCACAGCCAGCTACAGTGGCAAATTCCCACAATTCCATACAACAACAGACACACATAATCAAAAATTAAGTTTTAAATAAAAAAAGAGTATGCAGGAAGACAGTTCAGCAAATAAGAGTGCTTGCCATGCTATCCCTGGAACCCAATGATGGAAGGGGAGAAGTGGCCCAACAGTTGCCATCTTATCTTTACAGTGAGTGCTGTGGGTTACAGTGTACACCGTACAGTGTATTCACAGTGTACACTGTACTGCTGTGAGTACAGTGTACTCACTCACACAGTTACACACACACACACAAAGAAATAATAATAAAAAACAAGAATTTAAGGAAGTATGAAGTATGGTGGCCCATGCCTGTGATCCCAGCACTGGGGAGATTGAGGCAAGAGACTCCCAAGGACAATCTGGGAAATTTATGGAAATCTTTTTGCATTTTTGTTTTGGATACCTTAGTCACCAATTGCTGAATCAAAGGGTTGCACCCCAACCTTTGCCAACAGTCCACCTCAAAATAAATTTTTAAAGGGGCTGGTGTACCTTGGTGATGAAGTGTTTGCCTACAATGTGTAACGTGCACCAGTTCAATCCTACCATCACGAAAAGTAAACCACTACTTCTGAAACATTTCCTCTCAGCATATAGATGATTTTTAGCTGATATTCTTGTTCTCAGTATTTTGGTTTCAAGCCTTTGTACATCTCCAACAGCATGAGCACACTTACTTGCATGGCACATTTTGTATGAGCTAATTGATTTCCTCTCCTTTATCACTCCATTTAGTTTAAAATATTTACTTTTTTTAGTGCTGGGGATCAAACCCTGGGCCATATGCGTGGCAGGTAAGCATTCTACCACTCAGGTTCACACAAAGCCTTTAAGCCTTCATTTTATCTGTTACCTGGAGTGGCTGTAAAACCATAATCTAGACAGCCAGGTACAGTGTCATACTCCCACAATCCCTGCTACTCGAAGGCCTAAACAAGAGGATCACTGCAGCCCAGCTCAAAATTACCCTGGGCAACATTTGAACACCCTGGCTCAAGTGAAAGAAAACCAAATAAAACTATATGTAACAGCAAGGAGCAAACTAATTTTATGTAACTGTCCCAGACTCGATGAAATATTTCAGGGGTTGGGTCTACCAGTAAGTTGGCGGGAGTACCAGTAAGCAGGCACACATGAGGCCCTGGGTTCAATGCCAGCTTCTCTAAAGAAGTGGTACCCACCTCCACCCCACCCAGTGAGTTTCAGATTCTCCCTCAGTCTCTTTCCTTAGTGCTTATATACTTACTTTTCTTCCGGAGTCCCCACACACCTGTCATCCGGTAACTATTTCAACTCACCCAAATATAACTGCGTTCCATTGCATGATGTTGTTTTCAGATGGTGCACCACTGACCCCCACGGGTGGGTCCTCTTGCAATCTAGAAATCCAGAGTGGTCATTTTCAGAGTTAACATAAAGGTCACCAAGGTCAAATTCTACTGAACCTATTCTGAAAGACTGGCTAGATTGACTTTCTTGTTATCGATGGAGCCAGAATGAACCACAACTTAAATGAATCAACCAGGTTAATAAACTTATTAATAGTACAAGTGATCTCTAAGTCCAAAGGGCTAAGAGATCATCCCTCTTCAAACCACAAGATTTAAGATGTGGTCTCTTGAAGACCCATGTTTCCAGACTGCACTCTTAACCCACTGAAGAGTTATAATCTTAGCAGTAAAAAATATGGCTAGACAACCAGCAACTTGTGCTGGGTGGTGATGGCATATGCCTTAGAAAACTATCACTCAGGAGGCAGAGGCAGGTGGATATCTTGTGAGTTGGAGGCCAGCCTGGCCTACATAGTGGGTTCTAGGACAGTCAGAGCTACATAGAGAAACCCTGTCTTGAAAAACAAAAACAAACAAACAAAAAAACAAAGAAAAAGGGAGAACCTGCAAATTTCCTACCTCAACCATGCAAGGATCACCAGTCCTAACCACAGACACTGCACAACACAGAATTGTAGTCAATCTCTGTATACTCTAAATGACTAAAAACCACATTCAATTTAACTAGAAAGCAAGTTTTATTTCGTGCCCTGTGCTTCAGACAGTGGCTTTCTAAAGTAGCCGGAAGCTCCTGCTAGTTTTCCAAGCAGCCAATTTTAAAAGCTGTTCAAAGGCCAAATCTACCTCAGACCAGGACTTCACAGAGCTTCCAACAGACGTCATCATCAAATTCTTGTAACCTGAAGATCCTTGGAAAACTACCAACTTAAAATCAAATAAAAGAATTGCAAAAAAACGAGCAAGAGATAACAATGGATATAACTGGGAAGTTTTATTTGCGTTTCTCTGATGGAGTTAATCAAATAAGGTGACTTCAAGCCCTGGGTGACTTTTGCACCAAAAAAGGGCATCCTTTCCTGTCAGATTAAAAAACAAAAACAAAACCTCTACACACCCTCTCACGCACACACACACCCACACACACACACACACACACACACACACACACACACACACACAAATGAAATATGTTATTTTCAGATGGTAGGACACTTGGCAATCAAGTCCACATAAAAAGTGTACTGTTTGGTCACTCTCAAGCAGATTAGGCCGCTGATAGGGTTTACAGGAAGTACTACTTACTGCTTGACTCCCCACTTTTAAGTGGCCAAAAGCATCAACAAATGAATTAAATAATGTCTAGGGTCCAAGACAATGGCTTCTAAATGCTTCACACAGGGCTCTATAATGGCGAAGTTAAGAGGTTACTTCCTGAGCGGCAAATCTAAGTTTCTATATTACAGATTTGTCTCAATCACGGCAAGTCTGCCCCCAAAAGAAAACAAGACTATCTGGACGCTGGACTTCAGGTAGTTTCTGCACTTGTACGTTTCCAAAGAAAGACAAACAATTGGAAGAGGGAAAAGGTCATTTTCTTCCTCCAAGCCCCGTATTTCCCAACAAACCACTATTTTCCAAAAGAACGCCCAGGTGGAGTATCAGATTAGCATCAGGCTGACGGAAGGCATTTTTCCAGGCTAGGGAGGCTATAGATAGGCTTTTATTCGGCAGCCAGATCTCAGTTCCAGAAGGCATTGGCAGCACGAGTGACCATCTCCTGGCCCAGGTTTCCCGAGCCAGTTCTCAAGGTCCTTCCAGGTGGGCGGGGGCAGAATCGGGTTTCGGGGGATGGGCTAACCACCTCCGGCCCTCGCGCAGCAGACCCCACCCTCATCACTGCAGAAAGGGAAGGGACATGGGGCAATATTCACCCTAACCCCAATCCAAACGGGAGGCCGCGGGGCGCTCTAACAAAGCTGGACTGGTCTGCCAAGCGAAGCCCCAGCCTCAAGCGGAGCTCACTCGCACCGGCTGGGGAGGGGACGCCGCAGGGCACAGAGGCAGGAGATGAGGCAGGGACAGCTGGCCTAGGTGGGCCTTGGGGACACCTAGGCCCAGCGATGGCCTTCTTACTTCTTTGGGGGAAGGGCAGGGGGCAGTAGTACCAACCATCTTTACTCAAAAGGAGGTACCAGGCCAGGGAGGAG